CATTTTATTAGAGCAAGTGGGGTTACAACAACAATGCTAATGTCAAACCCACATCTGCAACCCGTACTGCAGTTTCAATCACCTTACAAGCACACCTTCTGGCAGTTTGAAAGGCAGAATGGTCATTACTACTTTCTCCTCATATTCAACACATATTCCCTTTATACCTACAGATACAGTTTAGACCTGGTTATGGCAAGCATTTTCGAGAAAAGATATGATTTAAGTCCACGACAAAGGTCGAGAGAAACAACACCAACATAAAACACCGACTATGTAGCACTAATACTGTCAAATTCATAAAAATATATACATGAGTCGATCAGAAATTCACTGTAGATTTCGAAAATGATGTCAAATGCCACTCAAATACCCCCATTCGCATGTACGATAAAACACTGACCTTCAATTCCGCGTGCCATTCTCCATAGGCCACTGTGTATTAAATAACGCGTTCACTGATAGCAAAAAATGAGACCCACATATTGACGCGTTTGCTACCAGCAAATCAGCGCTCGAGATGCCGAACGCTGATTGGTGGAGAGAGCCGTCGTTAGCAGTCCATTACACGTTGTTTTCCTTGAACATGTGCGTGAGCGCTGATGCTGCTCACGGGTTGTTGCCATTTTTCGTAATGCTGAAGGCACGGGAGCAAACTAGAGGTGGCAAAAGATGAGAATTTTGGGAACCAGACTCGAACCAGACCCGGCTGGCCATTTCTGGAACCAGCCGGACCCGGTATTAGTTGGAATTGGAACCAGTTGGACCCGTTCCCCAAAAGTCAATTAAAGGGACCCTCCCACCTTCAAAAAAGTTTATGAATTGGCATGAAAGTGATGTCGCTCGGTTCAGAAAGAGCGAAAACGAATATCTACCAAATTTCACCGAAAAATATTCACCGGTTTTCAAGATATTAGACTTTTACTTTTGTTTACTTTTTTGGGATCTCCGCTGTTTCTAGCGACTTTATTTTAGAAGTGCGGCGTTTGCGGCAGATGTTGCGCGCAAATAGCATATACCACCGCGTGCTACAAAACGTTTTAGTCAAACATTTAAAAATCGTTAGATATTTGCGCTGACGTCACACATTCAGAGGGGTATTCCTAAGCATTAGCCCCTCTGAATCAAAATGCTGCAATTTTGAAATTCAATATTTCCGATTTAAGGCATTTCTCGATGTTGTGAGTGCCGAAACCGGTAATTGTGAGCCAGGGACCCCATTTTGGCTATCTCAACTCAAATCTAATGTTAAGGTGGGAGGGTCCCTTTAATACAAACTTCTTGTAGGTATCATTAGTTGCATCATGTAAAACAGGCTATTTCCCACTGGGAATACTCATGAGCTACTGTGTGCAAAGAAACATTCACTTCTTTCACTTCATATTTTGCAATAATGTGTAGTGTGCAAGATGTATAGTTTATGGTAGGACCCGGTTGGGCCCGTCAGAAAATTTCCAGGAACCGGTCTGGACCCATATGGGTCCAGACTGGTTCTTTGGACCGGGTCCTCGGGTCCACATTTTGCCACCTCTAGAGCAAACCCCCCTGATGTGGATGGAACCAGATCGATACCTCTTTTTTTGACCAAGTCATAGCGAAAAAAAAACGTTCAAAATTGATGACGTCAAATTTTCAAACTCAATTTTTAGCAATTTTTGACCATGTAGCGCAAAACAAAGACCACCACTAGACTCGTGACGAGCTGCATCGAATCAATACCTACCCATTTGATGCAAATCTATCAACTTTGATGTTTGACCTTTTTGACCTGACATTGACCTGACCTCCGCCTAATGTAGTGACCTAAACCGCACCTGATGGTCTTATAACCAGCAACATTGAGCTGGACATGAAAAATTGGCCATAAAACATGCATCGCACAACCCTAGTAAAGTTGGGTTCATGTGCTACTGCTGACCCTTATTGACCTGACCTGTGATCTGACCTGAAATTACCAGTGACCTCCAATAGCAACATTACAAGGAAACTTACGCCCAATCGCTAATTTTCGCGAAAATGCGTTTTACTGGATGTTATAGCGCCCGTGTCAGGCGAACAACTTGGCCGTCGGTCAGCAAGAGCACTGAGTTCAGGCGGAGATGTGATGTCGCATGTCCGCCGACGTCACGCAGCGTCAGCCGCAGCGACGACGACGCGCCCGAGCGGTATCTCCTGCATCCCTGACGGTCCTTCTGACCAGCGGCGTCAGCGCGGTCAGCTGGTCCCGTCCACGACCGGCTGTGACCTCGGCGCCGGCCGGCAAGAGACACCGTTGTGTCAGCTCCCGGGGCCCAGTTTCAGGTACAGTGGTTCAATAAGCTGATCATTTGTGTCTGTCGAGACAAAGAAGACGAGCGGCAGTCTCTCATGGTTGGGTGCATCGTAGAGGTGACAAAAGGAGAAAATTTTGGGAACCAGACTCGAGCCAGACCCGACTGGACATTTCTCGAACCAGTCGGACCCGGTCTTAGTTGGAATCGGAACCAGTTGGACCCGTTCCCCAAAAGTCAATTAATATAAATTATTTGAAGGCATCATTAGTTGCATCATGTAAAACAGTTTTTTTTTTTCACTGGGAATACTCATGAGCTACAGTGTGCACTGCAAAGAAACATACATGAGCAAATGCTTTCTTTCCATCCACTTCATATTTTGCAATCATGTGTAATGTGCAAGATGTATGGTTTATGGTAGAAACCGGTTGGACCCGTCAGAAAATTTCCAGAAACCAGCCTGGAGTTGGACCCATGGTTCTTTGGACCGGGTCTTTGGATCCATATTTTGCCATCTCTAGCCCTCACCCGCACATGCCATTTTCCCATCCTAGAACGCCATTGGGGGAGGGGTTGCCACCCCCGCGCCATTTCGTTCCTGTTGGAGATAGAGCTTCGCGGTAAAGACCAAAAAGATTCTTTGGGAAGAGACAAGTCCAATGATACCCAGTTTTACTCTTTCAGGTAAGTCGTTGACCTTCCAGGTCATGTCAAACTAAAAAAATGTTGCTGTTTTGGGTCATCGCCAGATGTAGCAGGCCAGATGTAGCATCTCGCCAGCCGGCAAATGTCGTGAGGGCTAGTGTTCGTATCTAAGTAGCATTTGGCCAGTTGGCAACTGCCGTGAGGGCTGTACATATTTACGCGTGTTAGATTAGGTCAGGTCACGTCAGGTCAGGTTAGGTTTGCTTTGGTTTGGGGCAGAAAGAAGCATCTCCGGGTAGCGCCTCCCCTTGGTTGCTAAAACGAAACACGCGAGTGCCAGACATTACGAAGTCCAAAAGACAGTTACGTAGACGTCGGCTCATTCTGATTTTTTAATATGATGTGGCTTATGTTAGGAGAATAAAATAGGCATGTGAAAATCAGCAAAATCGAAGGGTCCTACCCAGTACCCATTTAAAAAAAATCATAATTTATTTTTTGAATTTTAATTAAATTCACTAATTAGCTAATTACGTCAAGATTGTTATGCTCAAATTAAAGCCTAATCCATTCCCTCCATTTCACACTTTGTTTCGTGGTGATATGTCTAAAACTTCAATGGTTATGACGCTTTAAAGATGATAATGTGCCTTGCCTAAGTCAATGTTTGATGACGATTATCTCGTAAACGTGACGTCATATCCTGACAAAAATGTCTCCTTTCTTTTCACATATAGATGAGTAGTTTCACAAAGTTTCGCAAAAATCGGAGGAGGTGAGGCTCAAAATGGTCATTTTTTTTTGTCCCACTTGACGTGGAATGCCCCAATTGGAACATATTGATTTTGGGTATTCATCGGCTTCCTCTCGTCACGGACAGCATGCTCGTTTTTTACTTTCGACCAGGGGCGAGCGGATGGGGGGGGGGGTAAGAGACCCCCTTGTATTTACGTCAGTGGCTGTCAAAACACCAATGCGGGCGATTGGGCCCTTGACTGACACGCAGTCTCAACTGGTTGTCAAATGTCAGGGCCCGGCCTGGCGCTCAGGGGACTTGTCACGTGAGCCGGGTGGATGGGGCTCAACGAGGTAACTGGAGGCTGGAGCGTCGGGGAAGTAACCTCTGTCCTTGATATGACGTATCACACGGGACACAGGTGGTCACAGAGATTGGGGCAGCTGGCCGGCCGGTGCTCCGACCCATTTCGGTGGGATGGGCATGGGGTGTGACCCTTACAGAGGTCACTGGGGACCCGCGCCCAATAACTCTGGGGTCACTGGGGACATGGTCTGTTACACAGTCGACTCAAGCCCGGAGGTCTGGCCGTAATCACACTGTTATCTTATTGCATGACATTTCAGGGTAGCCGTGGCTGACTCCGCATACCTCGGTTCAAAATATGTTGTGCTAGGGGCAAGGAACAACTCTTGCGTGTTTCGTCGTCACTGCGTTCAGTGTTGCATCAGGTGTCCATTGTTGCTTCCTTACTGTTCAAATAAGTTCCTCTGACTTTGAGAGTAAGGATGTCGGCATCGTCCTTTCTCGCGTGGAACGATTCGTTCGGAATTACAGATGTTCATGAGTCAGATTATTATATCTCTTTTGCTTATTTGGGGAGCGGCACGAAGCTTTGAAGTGTGTTACATTTGGTTATCGATATGTCATTCATGCAGCAACACAGTACCATTACTGTACACGATGTGATAGGACACAATATGTCTGCATAATGATTCTGTCAGCAGTGCAGCGTGGCGGTGTGTCTGGTGCGTGCGGCCTGACAGTTGTGTCGGCGGCAGAGGGGGCCGGGCCGGGGGGGGGGGAGGCCCACCACGGCCCAGGTGGTGCCAGTCGGAACCGGCACGCGGCCAGACACGGCGCGCGGGCCGACAGTGGGGGCGGCGGCCGGCGACCCGCAGCCCCCGCAGCTGCGCCGCCGACACACCCGCTGACGAAAACTCCCCTCCGTCGGCGTCAGTCAGCTGGCTAGCGTGACGTCACATTCGTCGGATCGACCGCGACGTAGGTACGGTCTCTAACAGGGCGGCGCGGAGATCGCCGCCTTACAAAGCCAATCTCACAGCTCTGATGAGCGGATTCGTGACAATTGTGGCCCGGTCTGAGGGCTGCCCGGGTGCAGGCGACAATTTCGGGGCCGGCTGGCCCGCGGCTGACCGGGTCCTTGAGGCCGGGACGTGGGCCGCGGCCAGCGGCCGCGCTTGCGCGCGCGCCACCCCGCCGCGTCGGCCGGCCGCCCGCGCGCCGCGCCGTAGTCACCACTCGCCACGTGAGCGGCCAGAGAGGTCGGTCGGCGCCGGCGCGGCTCCCGCTGTCGGTCTGTTCAGTCTGCAACGTGCTCGACGCCATCCGCCATGACTGAAGCGGCGGGGGACGGCGGCAGCGCCGACGGAGGCAAGAAGGTGACCCTGATGAACGGCGTGACCCTCATCGTGGGGTGCATCATCGGCTCCGGCATCTTCGTGTCACCGACCGGCGTGCTGGCCAACGCCGGCTCGGTCGGCGTGGCGCTGATCCTGTGGGGCGTCTGCGGCGTCATCTCCACGCTGGGCGCGCTCTGCTACGCCGAGCTGGGCTGCTGCATCCCGCGCTCCGGCGGCGACTACTCGTACATCCTGGAGATATTCGGCCCGCTGCCGGCCTTCCTGCGCCTCTGGGTCGGTCTGGTGGTGATACGACCGAGCCTCTCCGCCATCGTGGCGCTCACCTTCGGAGAATACGCCGTGAAGAGGGTCTACCCTGACTGTCCGGTGCCAGGAAGTCTTACGAAGCTTTTGGCAGCTATCTGCATCTGTAAGTATATCACGGGCGAAAGCATAGTGTGACTGTTCTTGAATGTTTTACTATAATAATTCTGAATGCAACCAGTAGCGCAATGTTCAACACATGTTGTTGATGGTCGTATCATTCAAAGTGCTATAGCACCTGGTGAGCGCACCTGTAGCACCTATAGCACCTGTTCTTGTTATACCGGATTATTGAGCCATGTTCACAGTTGTACATACCTGATTGGAAATAACCGGGTCATCGTGGCACGGGTCAGCGCGCTCTTCCTTCCAGCGTGCCCAACCCAGAGCCCCACTGTCCCACTCGGTGAAATCGGCCCGGCCAGGTGGCGGCCCACGTAACCCGACCATCCGGAGCTCGATAGCCTTGGGCCGTCGCCTGGCGCACCAGCGCCTGACCACAGACAATCGATAATGAATTAAAGGGACACTCCCACCTTAACATTAGTTTTGAGTTGAGATAGCCAAATTGGTGGCCATGGCCTGCAAATACCGGTTTGGGTACTCACAACATCGACAAATGCTTTAATTCGGAGATTTGGAATTTCAAACTTGCAGTTTTCGGATTCTAAAGGGCTAGTGCATTGGTATGCCCCCTTAGAATTTGTGACGTCAGCGGAGATCTAACGATTTTTAAATCTTTTACTAAAACGTTTGGTAGCACGCGGTGGTATATGCTGCTTTGCGCGCAACAAATGCCGCACTTTCAAATAAAGTCGCTAGGAACAGCGGAGATCCCAAAAAGTAAACAAAAGTAAAAGTCTAATATCTTGAAAACCGGTGAATATTTTTCGATGAAATTTGGTAGATATTCGTTTTCGCTCTTCCTGAACCGAGCGACATCACTTTCGTGCCAATTCATTAACTTTTTTGAAGGTGGGAGGGTCCCTTTAATGAAACGCCGACGATCCTGATGTCAACCTGACGGTCTGCTTCGTAGTTCTTCGGTAGCTCACGTGGACATATGGTAGCTAACTATGCGATAGCCTCCGATCCTCGGGGCGCACCTAACCCTTCACTGTCAGTGTCCGCTATCCAGTATAACCATTCCCCTGTTCCGCGCCCAACAGCGGACGGTCAGCATCATCCGAATGAAGTGGCTCACACCGGAGCGGGCTCACGTGCGGTGGGGTGACCGTACTCGCAGCTGGATGGCCTGTCCATCGTGACGGACTCAGCCGCAGCGACGCACCAGGGCGGCAGTCCAAACCAATTTCCCCAATGCCCCATACGGCCATATCCATTCGCTCTGAAATTGTCTCACTAAATCGCGAGGTCCTAACCCAATAAAACAAAACAAATAGCCCCGGCTCGATCTATAACATACTGATCAAATTGTTTAATTTGCGATCGAGCTGATTAAAATGTCCAGGTGCCCAGATGCGTTGGTTTAACCCTATTCCTGGCGGGGGGGGGGCCTCAGGAGCCCCCCCCCTGAGGTTTTTTGGTTATTTCTCCCAAACGCGTTGAGCTAGGAGGCTAAAATTTTCTGACTTTTCCTATAAGGCTTCTACGCAACATGTCTGAAAATTTTGAGTTGATCTGACCTCAGGTCAGGTCAACAGAGGCGGTTTGGTGACCCTACCTCAGAAAAGTTTGCAATCACGCCACAGCTAGAGTTTTTGACCGATCAATTTCTTCTCTTCAGGCTTTAGTTAGGGTACCAGTATGTGCAATTTGTATATCTCGGAATTTTGATATCGGTGACCTAAGGTCAGGTCAATTTCGCGACCTCCCCATTATAAGTCAATGGGGGGAAAAATCAACTCCCTGTTTTTACCACTAAAACGGGTCGGAATGGCACCATATCCCATACATGACTTCATATACGATCAACCTTCACTACCTTGAGGTCTGTTTTGCTGTTGGGCAGCTGTGAGGTCATGTGACGTCATCAAAGGTCACCAAAGGTTTTTGGCCAATAACTCCGTACAGGGTCAAGATACAGACGCGTGGATGGTCTCATTGTGTTCAGCTCGTCAAGACGCATCGAATGATATACATGATGACCTCGAGGTCACGTGACCTGAGGTCAACCTTTGACCTTGACCTTTCGAGGTCAACATATATATCATTCGATGCGGATTGACGAGAGGATCACGATGATGCCCTTAGTTTGCTCCTATCTTGACTAATTCGAAAGTTATTCGAGAAAAACTCTCTCCATATCTAGCGCCGCCATTTTGACTTTTTCGACCCCTGTGACGTCATCTTTGACCTGACCTGAAAATGACCTTAGTAAAAATTGTAGACCTTGTCCATGCGTATCCGATGCCGTTTACCGCTTGTCGCTATCTTGCTTCGTTCTCGAGATCTCAGGGGGGGGCCGAATCGGCCCCCCCCCGCCAGTTTCTTGTCCCGGCGGAGCCCGCCAGGAATAGGGTTAAATTCCAGCCAAGCACAAACAAGTAGTACCTATACGATCGATGCCTGTCGTCTGATCATGATTCACTTCAACATTAAGTGTCCGCCGGTTTCCGGGGAACAACGCATAAGCTGACTGAACTGTCCAATGATATGTCACCGACAATTCTGCGATCCCGGCTCCAACTGAGATCGTCCATATTGCAACAGACGTAAACTGCATTACAATTAGCACGGATATACCTTTAGTTATATAGGGGGTGAGTGGCCGCTCACAAAAGGTTGTTAGGTGTACGTTGTAATTGTATATATTGTCTAACATTAACCCTCGCATGTGTAGGGGGGGGGGGGGTCGGATGGACCCCCCCCATGGTTTTTCGCGAATAACTCGCGTAAAAAGCGGCCGATCGCGACGAAACTTTCAGTACCCTCGCATTGATCAATTTTACACCTACCCTGAAAATTTCATGACCCTAACCCAAATGACCTTTGACCTGTGACCTCTTTTCCGAGACCATGTTTGGCCGGAATCGCGATTTCGCGTATGTCGGCTCGCACTAGCCGCGTGTTTGCAAGCTTCTCGTGGTTTCAAACGTTCAAACATGTGATTTGATGTTACTCCCGTGTGTGTCAAGGTCACCTGAAGGTCAGGTCAGGTCATTGACCTTTGGTGACCTCGGGTGACCTCGGGTCACTTTTTCGAGTTTTACATGTTTCTAGGCTAGTTTTTGGAGCTGAATTCGAATTTAGCAACCATTTGAACATTTACGAAGTAGTTTTGGTGACTTCGTAACATGTTACGAAGCTGTCAGAGGCGGTTGACACGTACTACGAATACCCGTCACGACGCCTACTGGTTGACCTGACCTGACCTGACCCGACCTGGTCTAAATGCTTCAAGACATCATCTGTGATCAAAACTAACACGATATTCGTGATCAGCACCCCGAAAAACCCCTTAGCAGCCACACTTTACGACTTTCTAACAGGTCCCGATTTTCCCGACTTTGGGTCATTGACCTGACCTGGAAGGTCAACCAATGACCTAGGACCTTAAAATTGGGTATCATCGGCTTCCTCTCGTCACGGGCAACACGCTCGTTTTTTCCGCGAAGCTCTAGCTCGATCAGGGGCCAAACGGCAAGGGGGGGGGGGTCCAACCGACCCCCCCCCCTACACATTAGAAGCTGGCAAACGCCGCACACATGCGAGGGTTAACATACATGGCCTTAGCAGCCATAAGATTAACGCCAGGCGATGCCTCTCGCTGCAGTCAATTCACAAATTTCCATTTCGGAACGGGAGGAACTGACGGACCTGAATTGAATAAACCCTCTTCACATGTCACGTCGTCACGATTACTATTCAATCCGCTTGCTAGCTGAAGCTTGGCACAATGGCAATGACAATAAAACAATATTTATCTTTGACCATTGCATAACACCCACATTTACAACCGCAACATTTACGTAAGTATGCAAAACAGTTTGTTGTGCATTACCGGTTACGCTCCTGATACGGCACTTCAACATGTTTTTGGACTCCAGCATTTGCAGGAATCACGATAAATAGCGTGCAAGCAGGGATAGTGTTGATGCACATGAGCTTGTCCCGTCCCCGAAGCAGGTGAGGTGAAGGGGTATATTCAGCTCACGTAGCTGAAAAGGTTAGCTGCGCTCAAAAAGCGAGTGGTAAGTGAGGAGGGACACTGAACAATAAGGCATATCGCTTTAAAAAGATCGTACATCTACATAGGTACATACATCAGATAACATCAATAAACAGCATGCACTGTCACACGGCAAAACGCGATATGGATGATCACGGATATAAACGCTTAGGTCTTGGAACGAAGCATAACCCGTGTCCCGTTTGGGGGGGGGGGAGGAGGGGGGCGAAACGGCCTCCTCTCCTTTTTAGTCGATAGCTCCCAAAGTATATCGCCATGAAACTTTCAGGACGCCTCCGGGTATCAATTTTGCACCTTGTGACCAACTTTGTTCCAAAGCCTATGATAGGTTGGCCGCAAATGACGTCAGAGTTCCGTCATGTCTTGCCATTTTCGACAAAAAATGCTTTGCGGGAAGAGCTGTCACGCCTACAGGTTTGGAGATAGAGGAAAATGTTTAAGATAAAATAGTGTACAATTAACAGGATTACAAAACTGCTATCTCAAATTTCTGATTTTTTTTTTGTATTTTGCCCCCAAAACTAAAAGTGATTTTTTTGATATAATACCCCCAAAATAGGTACCTAAGATTTTCAAAATTTTGAAAAAACAGAATACATGTTGTATGATTATTGGTCTGCTATTGACATGCCAAATTTGAGCTCCATAGCTCTATTTTTGGCAAAGTTATGGCGATAAAACTGCTCAAAATTTATGACGTTAATTTTTCAAACTCAATTCTTAGCCGTTATCGATAACGCAGAATAAAACGAAGAGCATCATTGGATTCTCCGTGATAGCCTGCATCGAATAGACACCCCTTTTATGCAAAAATAGCAACTTTTAGCTTTAACCTTTTTTAACCTGACCCTGACCCGACTTCCACCAGAATGGAACCTAAGCCGGTCCTAATGGTCGTGTAACCGACACCATTGAATTTGAAATGTGAAATTGGCCATAAAATATGTATCACACCACACTCCTGTGCCTTTTATTCAATGTTATAACGCATTCCTTAGAAGGCCCGTGATCGGTGAAAAATGCGACATTTGACCTGACCTGTGACGTCATTGGTTGCACCTAGGTCACCGAAACTTGGTCACGAGGTAGTTCCCTGGCGGCGCTATGGAACGCCGGTTGAATTTTCAAAATCGGTCGGTAACTTTCCGAGATACGAGGAGGGGGGGGGGGCGAAATAGCCCCACCCTCAACGGGTGGTAGGGTCCGCCAAAAGCCCAATGGGACGCGGGTGAAGTATTAAATAAAGGTGCCGTTAAATATGTGGGAATAAAAACATGCCTATGCGGGCTGATCATTTGCGCTCTGTGTTGCAAATCACTTTTGTTTCCCGAACAGCAGCTGATGTTCGGACGGCATTGCGGCAGGTTAATTAAGGTCATCGAGCGTTTTTGCTGATGACATGTCTCGCTCACAGTGCAGAAAAGCGGCGACAAGTTATCTGGCAATCGAGTCATGCTGCTCCATACGTGTCCTCACATGTGCGCTGCCGCAAGTCGACACGACACTGATGTGATGTCTGTGTGTCGTTGCAGCCATCCTGACGTTCGTCAACTGCATGAGCGTGCGCTGGGCGATGCGAATTCAGGACGTCTTCACGGCTGCAAAGCTCAGCGCTCTGGTGGCGATCATCCTCGTGGGATTGGCTTACATCGGAATGGGTGAGTACTGAGTACCTAGGCTGTGCTCAGATATTGTTTGTCTCTTTCTGCCAGCTGGGTGTCTGTCCGGAGTGGAATATCTCTGAAAGTGGCAATGTAGTAATGCCATTGTTTTAATCAATAGACATGCATATCCATCCGCTTTCACTAGATTATTGTCGCCAATGGTGAAATGAACCGTCTCACGGTACAGGTAAGAATCCGGTGAACTGAAGCATGGTTATGCATCGCTCTGATTTTGCCGTCTGAAGTACGAGAACTATTCAAACTTTGTCTTTGATGAGGTCTCTCACTCTTTCCTCCCGTAACTCGATTGATTATGCTGTTTTTTCCTTGAAAAATCCCAAGTGTCGTCTGACGAAGATGCATTTCAAAGGAAGCACCCCTTATGTTTTTATTGATACGAGTAAAACGTTTATAATTGACGTTTATGATATAACGTTTTTTTATAGACTGCATTCAGTAAAGCTTACTACACGTACGGCTCTCGCGAGATTAAGCGGTAGTTTTTGCACTTTTACATTTCCGGCTATATCTCAGAAACTAATTGATCTACGATGAAGCCATTTTACACGATCATGGCCGGCTTGTTACCCAACAAGTCGATCGCATCTTCAACACTTAAAAGCTTGAGACGACGAAGATATAGCCTGAAGTACACTAAATTTTCTAGGTGCAAAACCTACCGCTAAAACCCGCGAGACCTCTACATACGTGGATTATGCGACGATATGCGTATTATAATTATTTTATGTATAAAGCGGGGCGCCCCTAGCATTAATGCCAATCAAGTGTGGAAAGTAATGTTCAATTACCTGATCCGGTCGTTTCAGCATTGCACGCGTACTAAGCGACTGTGTGATGTTTGTACAGTCCACAGCAGAAGTAATGTGGGGTTTCAGTCAATGGGTATGTTCTGCTTCTGAAGCTTAGGAACGATTAGCCAGACTACAATGAAACTTTGAATGTAGCTTATATGTATCGTCACCCTTGCAGCTGCAACTTTAGCTACTGACATCTTCTTTTCGATCACTCCGCATTAAACAATCGCCAGTCAAAGCCAACCGTTGAGAAATGGTAAAACCCTACATTACTTTAGCGGTGGGCTGTACGTCCATTCATCACTCAGTGCAGCATTCAGCCCTGCCGTGGCTACTGAGGCTGGTTGAGGGCAATCGGAGCACTGGAACGAAGGTCGAAAACAAGTTAATTTAAAAGGCAGCCGATGAAGCGCAATAGTGACGGTTGAGGGAAGTCCAGCGGAGGTAGATAACCTGTTTGGGGTGCAGACTGCAGGTCGGATGAACTCTGCCAAACAGTCGGTAGGCCAGACAAATCATGCATCATACATGTCATAGTGTTTTCAATGTATCTTTCTGGGTAGTGAGTACTGCAGTCACAAACAACATTTGCGAAACATGACGTGGTTATGCTCAAGTCGCATGACATCATACGTATGATCATTAATCAATAACAATGGCGCGTCAGCTCCCGCAATGCTGTAGCGTTCAGTAGCGTCGTACAGTCGTGTACAGGTTGATGGTCCCCTACTCTTTATCCACCGGGTTCCTATGGCTCAGCATTGGCAGCAGCCGCCTGGTACCGGTAGGCTGTGCCGCATGACCCGAGAGTGAAGCGGCACAGCCTACCCACACTGTATGACACCGGCTCGGGTCGCCTGGTAGAGCGATTTGACCGGACGCTGCGTTACACCGGCTGGGGGGAGGGGGGGGGTAAAGGTCAGGCCTGTCTATTTAGCTAGGCTCGGTGGATGGGGCGGGCTGGAGTGTGGTGTGGGGCGGGGGTGATGTGGGGAGGGAGTGAGCGGACCTGGGGCTGGGTGTATGTGGTCACTTGTCGCATAGAACCGATCGTAATCCACCCTCCAAAAATTCGCTTTAGAGATATTCACAAAACCCAGGGGGGTTCAAACACCCATCTCCCAAGTGGGGTGCGGAAGGACAGGTAAGGGTCGATACGGTCTCCTCATGAATTGCAGCAAAGAAAGAAAACAGACCTGTCACCAAATAATCTTTCTGAAAAGTGGACTACTCGCATAGCCTCGGACACAGAAATAAACATCCAGCACGCGAAGCGTCTCGAACCGGGCCTCTCACTACCGGTCAGTTTGACAGTCTTAGCACTCCTACGCTGAGCTACACCGGATTGTGGCCACGGCCGGGGCAAAGTCTGGCCGGGCGGGCGGCGGGGCCGGGAGTTCGGCAACAAAGTCAATGAATGTTTTTGTGGTTTCGGGTGCCGGTCGCTCTAGCTTGGTGGAATGATGATGGATCATTGGCAAAACTTTCAACGTGGAGTCCCGGTTCGAGCCTCATCGGGGCTCCGGCTACTTTTCCGAGTTAGGATCTGGTTTGATTTTAGTGGTTGCGAGCCATTTATAAGGTTTTATATCTACATGTCGATTGTCGATTGATTGATTGATTGATTCATTCGTTCATTTATTACATGTCGACATTTAGTATACGAATTGACATCCAGGATCAATCCGATCAATCTACCATTTTCATAAGCGTATTGCCTAAGTATCATGCATATATGTGGCACAAGATCTATGGTTGCCTCGATACCGTGCCAAATCACGTTTTGCACAATGCACAAGTAAATTATATTCGCTGGGTCTTCCGTGCATTGTGCTTATCAAAAACAGGAATGCAATTGTTAAGCGACGCAAAATGTGCAATGCAGCAAGTGACCACACAACCCGCCCAGCCCCCATGGTTCACCAACACGCCCCACACCACTCCCCAGCCCACGCCAACCACCGAGACGAGCCCCTCCCCCCGCGCTGGTCTGACGTGACAGCTGGTCTACAAAGCGCTCCACCCGGCGACCCGAGCCGATGTCAAACGGCGTGGGTAGACTGTGCCGCTTCACTCTCCGGTCATGCGGCACAGCCTACCGGTACCAGGCGGCTGCTGCCAATGCTGAGCCATAGGAACCCGGTGGATAAAGAGTAGGGGACCATCAACCTGTACACGACTGTACACTCACCTACTAAGTGATGTTCGCCCCCCGACGGCCCAGCGTTTGACTGGAGCGGTAGACTGCGCCGTCTCACACCCAGGCTCAGCGGCACAGCACATCCCTCTGGCCTCAACGGTAGACTGTGCCGCCTCACACCCAGGCTCAGCGGCACAGTATATCTCTCTGGCCTCACACTCGTTAGAGACGCGTTTGACCTGGTCAGGGACGCGCCGCGCTGGTTGCCTTATCGCTCACAGTCACATATCTGTGGCTAGGGGGCCTGCTGCGAATCGCTGGTCTTTCTGTGTCGACTCGAATATGATGCTTGTAAGTGTTCACGATCGCATTTAGCTCAGTGAGATTAGTTATAGCAATTTATATCGTTTGTTTTCTCCCGGGTGGGGTGGGGGGGGGGGTGTTTGGCCACACCTGCCAATGTCTGTGTGTGTCTGTAACGGAAACTGCGGCGCACGGCGAAGCAAAACTTGGCACAACTTATGAATTTCGTATCGCGTGTGGAATTCTTGACACCTGGTCACATCATAAAGTCAGGTCAAAATGCTCCTCTTTTTAGCGATGGCACCCGGATACAGGTGAATATGGCACACCGAATCACAAAATTCCACTCTTTACCCATTTTATGCCCCTGAAGTCATCTCACATCATGATACGTGTCTCCGTAACCCTCGCCGGCACGGGGGAAGTTGATGCACCCGCCACCCCCCCCCCCCCCCCACCCAAGGCGTCTCGCGAATAACTCGCGTAAAAAGCAGCCGATTGCGACAAAACTTTCAGTACCCTCGCATTGATCAATTTTACATCTACCCTGAAAATTTCATGACCCTGACCAAAATGACCGTTGACATGTGACCTACTTTCCGAGACCATGTTTGGCCGGAAGCGCGATTCGGCGTATGTCGGCTCGCATTAGCCGCGCGTTTGCAAGCTTTTCGTGGTTTCAAACGTTCATACATGTGATTTGGTGTTGCTCCCATGCAATAGGGTGGATGGCAAGGTCACCTGAAGGTCAGGTCAGGTCAGGTCATTGATCTTTGGTGACCTCGGTTCACTTTTTCGAGTTTTGCATGTTTCTAGGCTAGTTTTTGGAGATGAATTCGAATTTAGAAAGCATTTGAACATTTTCGAAGTAGTTTTGGTGCCTTCGTAACATGCTACGAAGTTGTCAGAGGCGGTTGACAGGTACTACGAATATCCGTCACGAACCCTACTGGTTGATCTGACCTGACCTGACCTGACCTGGTCTAAATGCTTAAAGACATAACCCACGAGCCGCTGGGGGGCATAAAGTTGCTCCCCCTTTACGTTTTGTGAAATATCTCCGAAACCTGATGAGCTACGAACGTGAAACTTGGCATAGCTTCAAATGAATACCTAGGCAATGTTTGAGGAAAGTTTGGTGGTTGTAGCAACTAAGATGACGTCACAGTGACGTCATAAAGGTTTGTCGTTTTCCGACATGGACCGTTTCTGATGACGCTGAGCATGAAACTCAACTGTAAATGAACTAGACAGCACCTGCTGTCATCCTAAAACATCTAACTACACTTCCATCTAGTTTCTGACCAATAATCGACCCTTTATATTCGGTCCAATATATCTGATGTATCGTGAGGAATATGAGAGTCGCAAATCTATAATTTTACTTATGACGTCACTGTGACGTCATTTCAAATGGGATCGACACCAAATTTGGACACAACCTCGGCTAGGTATTCAGGAAGATGTGTGTAAAGTTTCGCTTCTCTATCTCTCCGCGTTGCGGCGATATCGTCGCAGAAGTAAAGGGGGGGGCAACTATATGCCCCCCCCCAGCGGCCGGCGGGTGGCGCGGAGGCCCAGCGGCCGCCGGGATAATCTGTGATCAAAAGTAACACGATATTCGTGATCAGCATCCCCCAAAAAACCATAGCAGCGACACTCAACCAATGACCTAGAACCTTAAAATTGGGCATCATCGGCTTTCTCTCGTCACGGGCAACACGCTCGTTTTTTCC